GGTACAGTAGTGTTAGTGGTGGTACAGTAGTGTTAGTGGTGGTACAGTAGTGTTAGTGGTGGTACAGTAGTGTTAGTGGAGGTACAGTAGTGTTAGTGGTGGTACAGTAGTGTTAGTGGAGGTACAGTAGTGTTAGTGGTGGTACAGTAGTGTTAGTGGTGGTACAGTAGTGTTAGTGGTGGTGCAGTAATGTGGTAGTGGTGGTACAGTAGTGTTAGTGGTGGTACAGTAGTGTTAGTGGTGGTAGTGGTGGAGGTACAGTAGTGTTAGTGGTGGTACAGTAGTGTTAGTGGTGGTACAGTAGTGTTAGTGGTGGTACAGTAGTGTTAGTGGTGGTACAGTAGTGTTAGTGGTGGTACAGTAGTGTTAGTGGTGGTACAGTAGTGTTAGTGGTGGTACAGTAGTGTTAGTGGTGGTACAGTAGTGTTAGTGGTGGTACAGTAGTGTTAGTGGTGGTACAGTAGTGTTAGTGGTGGTACAGTAGTGTTAGTGGAGGTACAGTAGTGTTAGTGGTGGTACAGTAGTGTTAGTGGTGGTGCAGTAATGTAGTGGTGGTGCAGTAATGTTAGTGGTGGTACAGTAGTGTTAGTGGTGGTACAGTAGTGTTAGTGGAGGTACAGTAGTGTTAGTGGTGGTACAGTAGTGTTAGTGGTGGTACAGTAGTGTTAGTGGTGGTGCAGTAATGTTAGTGGTGGTGCAGTAATGTTAGTGGAGGTACAGTAGTGTTAGTGGTGGTACAGTAGTGTTAGTGGTGGTACAGTAGTGTTAGTGGTGGTACAGTAGTGTTAGTGGAGGTACAGTAGTGTTAGTGGTGGTACAGTAGTGTTAGTGGAGGTACAGTAGTGTTAGTGGTGGTACAGTAGTGTTAGTGGAGGTACAGTAGTGTTAGTGGAGGTACAGTAGTGTTAGTGGTGGTGCAGTAATGTTAGTGGTGGTACAGTAGTGTTAGTGGTGGTACAGTAGTGTTAGTGGAGGTACAGTAGTGTTAGTGGTGGTACAGTAGTGTTAGTGGAGGTACAGTAGTGTTAGTGGTGGTACAGTAATGTTAGTGGTGGTACAGTAGTGTTAGTGGTGGTACAGTAGTGTTAGTGGAGGTACAGTAGTGTTAGTGGAGGTACAGTAGTGTTAGTGGAGGTACAGTAGTGTTAGTGGTGGTACAGTAGTGTTAGTGGTGGTACAGTAGTGTTAGTGGTGGTACAGTAGTGTTAGTGGAGGTACAGTAGTGTTAGTGGAGGTACAGTAGTGTTAGTGGTACAGTAGTGTTAGTGGTGGTACAGTAGTGTTAGTGGAGGTACAGTAGTGTTAGTGGAGGTACAGTAGTGTTAGTGGTGGTACAGTAGTGTTAGTGGAGGTACAGTAGTGTTAGTGGAGGTACAGTAGTGTTAGTGGTGGTACAGTAGTGTTAGTGGTGGTACAGTAGTGTTAGTGGAGGTACAGTAGTGTTAGTGGAGGTACAGTAGTGTTAGTGGTGGTACAGTAGTGTTAGTGGAGGTACAGTAGTGTTAGTGGTGGTACAGTAGTGTTAGTGGAGGTACAGTAGTGTTAGTGGTGGTGCAGTAATGTTAGTGGAGGTACAGTAGTGTTAGTGGTGGTACAGTAGTGTTAGTGGAGGTACAGTAGTGTTAGTGGTGGTGCAGTAGTGTTAGTGGTGGTACAGTAGTGTTAGTGGTGGTACAGTAGTGTTAGTGGTGGTACAGTAGTGTTAGTGGTGGTGCAGTAATGTTAGTGGAGGTACAGTAGTGTTAGTGGTGGTACAGTAGTGTTAGTGGAGGTACAGTAGTGTTAGTGGTGGTGGTGGTACAGTAGTGTTAGTGGAGGTACAGTAGTGTTAGTGGTGGTACAGTAGTGTTAGTGGTTAGGTACAGTAGTGTTAGTGGAGGTACAGTAGTGTTAGTGGTGGTACAGTAGTGTTAGTGGTGGTACAGTAGTGTTAGTGTTAGTGGTGGTACAGTAGTGTTAGTGGTGGTACAGTAGTGTTAGTGGTGGTGTTAGTGGAGGTACAGTAGTGTTAGTGGTGGTACAGTAGTGTTAGTGGTGGTACAGTAGTGTTAGTGGTGGTACAGGTACAGTAGTGTTAGTGGTGGTACAGTAGTGTTAGTGGAGGTACAGTAGTGTTAGTGGTGGTACAGTAGTGTTAGTGGTGGTACAGTAGTGTTAGTGGAGGTACAGTAGTGTTAGTGGAGGTACAGTAGTGTTAGTGGAGGTACAGTAGTGTTAGTGGTGGTACAGTAGTGTTAGTGGAGGTACAGTAGTGTTAGTGGTGGTGCAGTAATGTTAGTGGAGGTACAGTAGTGTTAGTGGTGGTACAGTAGTGTTAGTGGTGGTACAGTAGTGTTAGTGGTGGTGCAGTAATGTTAGTGGAGGTACAGTAGTGTTAGTGGTGGTGCAGTAATGTTAGTGGAGGTACAGTAGTGTTAGTGGTGGTACAGTTGTGTTAGTGGTGGTGCAGTAGTGTTAGTGGAGGTACAGTAGTGTTAGTGGAGGTACAGTAGTGTTAGTGGAGGTACAGTAGTGTTAGTGGAGGTACAGTAGTGTTAGTGGTGGTACAGTAGTGTTAGTGGAGGTACAGTAGTGTTAGTGGAGGTACAGTAGTGTAAGTGGTGGTGCAGTAATGTTAGTGGTGGTACAGTAGTGTTAGTGGTGGTGCAGTAATGTTAGTGGAGGTACAGTAGTGTTAGTGGTGGTGCAGTAGTGTTAGTGGTGGTGCAGTAATGTTAGTGGAGGTACAGTAGTGTTAGTGGTGGTACAGTAGTGTTAGTGGAGGTACAGTAGTGTTAGTGGTGGTGCAGTAATGTTAGTGGTGGTACAGTAATGTTAGTGGAGGTACAGTAGTGTTAGTGTAGGTACTGTAATGTTAGTGGTGGTACAGTAGTGTTAGTGGAGGTACAGTAGTGTTAGTGGTGGTACAGTAGTGTTAGTGGAGGTACAGTAGTGTTAGTGGAGGTACAGTAGTGTTAGTGGAGGTACTGTAATGTTAGTGGTGGTACAGTAGTGTTAGTGGTGGTACAGTAGTGTTAGTGGTGGTGCAGTAATGTTAGTGGTGGTACAGTAGTGTTAGTGGTGGTACAGTAGTGTTAGTGGAGGTACTGTAATGTTAGTGGTGGTACAGTAGTGTTAGTGGAGGTACAGTAGTGTTAGTGGTGGTACAGTAGTGTTAGTGGAGGTACAGTAGTGTTAGTGGAGGTACAGTAGTGTTAGTGGAGGTACTGTAATGTTAGTGGTGGTACAGTAGTGTTAGTGGTGGTACAGTAGTGTTAGTGGTGGTGCAGTAATGTTAGTGGTGGTACAGTAGTGTTAGTGGTGGTGCAGTAATGTTAGTGGTGGTACAGTAGTGTTAGTGGTGGTACAGTAGTGTTAGTGGTGGTGCAGTAATGTTAGTGGTGGTACAGTAGTGTTAGTGGTGGTACAGTAGTGTTAGTGGTGGTACAGTAGTGTTAGTGGTGGTACAGTAGTGTTAGTGGTGGTGCAGTAATGTTAGTGGTGGTACAGTAGTGTTAGTGGTGGTACAGTAGTGTTAGTGGTGGTACAGTAGTGTAGTGGTGGTGCAGTAATGTTAGTGGTGGTACAGTAGTGTTAGTGGTGGTACAGTAGTGTTAGTGGTGGTACAGTAGTGTTAGTGGTGGTACAGTAGTGTTAGTGGTGGTACAGTAGTGTTAGTGGAGGTACTGTAATGTTAGTGGTGGTACAGTAGTGTTAGTGGTGGTGCAGTAATGTTAGTGGTGGTACAGTAGTGTTAGTGGTGGTACAGTAGTGTTAGTGGTGGTACAGTAGTGTTAGTGGTGGTACAGTAGTGTTAGTGGTGGTACAGTAGTGTTAGTGGTGGTACAGTAGTGTTAGTGGTGGTGCAGTAATGTTAGTGGTGGTACAGTAGTGTTAGTGGAGGTACAGTAGTGTTAGTGGAGGTACAGTAATGTTAGTGGTGGTACAGTAGTGTTAGTGGAGGTACAGTAGTGTTAGTGGTGGTACAGTAGTGTTAGTGGAGGTACAGTAGTGTTAGTGGAGGTACAGTAATGTTAGTGGTGGTACAGTAGTGTTAGTGGAGGTACAGTAGTGTTAGTGGAGGTACAGTAGTGTTAGTGGTGGTACAGTAGTGTTAGTGGTGGTACAGTAGTGTTAGTGGAGGTACAGTAGTGTTAGTGGAGGTACAGTAGTACCCTGATGGTGTAGTTGTGGTGCTGTGTAGGTATAGTGCTGAGTCCTACAGTGCATGAGTAACACCGCCTGTATTGTGTTGTCACTTTAAAGTGTTGGCAGTTTAGGTGTGGGGTTAGGGAGCAACATGAGCGGTTGACAAGTGTGCAAGACATACCATCACACAGAGACTATGGTAGTGTCTGGTGGAAGACTGGAAGAGAGGAGGAGACTGGTATGGTTGTAAGGTAGCCAGAGTCAGGTGTGAGCCATGCTGGTGTCCACTACCTGCCCTCGACAGTGGATGTTGCATAACATTGCCATGATATAAAGTCACATGTTAGTGTGCTGCCATAGCTATTATACACTGACAGACTCGTACTGAAACCCTGTGCCGTGGGTGACTGCAACCAAATTTCCTAAATGCAAATGTTGATATTAATGCTGTGGTGCCACTGACTTATGTGAATACAGATCCAACTGCACAGTGCCCAGCTGTTATTTATGTGGAGGACTGTGCAGTAGTCTGATGACTATAGTGTGGGGCTAACAAGCCTGTGGACTACAATTACGTGGTGAGCGGGACCCCCAAGAAGCGCTACGCCACCACTAATTGATGGGTTCCGAGGAAGGAGACCACTGGAGACGCCATGCTGGTGTTCCCAGCCGTCAGTGCCGCCAGCAGCGGCCTTCCCGAGACTTGGTAAGATATGAGCAACAACTCCCTCCTTCAACAGTGAATTACGTGAATTAGGTCATAACAAATGCTACATGTTAGATTATTATGATGCCTTACCAAAGTCTGGAGAACCCAGCTAATATATGATCCTACAAAGCTATCTAGAAAATGCTTTTAAACTCATCATTACCTCCGGGTTGAGACTCGAAAATGGAAAATTTGAAAAGGCTTCAGCCGATTTCCATAATGCAGGAAACACGGAACATAACTGAAAGTAAAGACCCAACAAATGATAAAAATGAAGTGTCACCGGGTCAGGAGCATGTGTGTGATGGGGTGCAGACCCACCTCACACACACACACGCTCACATGCCTGAGAGCATGTGTGTGATGGGGTGCAGACCCACCACACACACACATGCTCACATGCCTGAGAGCATGTGTGTGATGGGGTGCAGACCCACCTCACACACACACACACACATGCTCACATGCCTGAGAGCATGTGTGTGATGGGGTGCAGACCCACCTCACACACACACACATGCTCCGACGCCTGAGAGCATGTGTGTGATGGGGTGCAGACCCACCTCACACACGCTCCGATACCTGACTAAGTCTTACCTTTACATGACGCTAAAAAATAAACTCTGAGCATAAACACAGCTCTTGGGAGTTGAGGAACTCTCAGTGACAGATCTAGGAAGAAGGATTATACCTCAAGAACAGTCAGGATGTAGAAATAAGAAAGAATATACATGCACAATTAAAGAAAGCGTTCCCTACCAGAGGGCAGAAGGCCCGTCGTCCATCTCTCACACCTCCACACAACCCTTGTCAACCCCACAACCTACACAACCCAACACTCCACCTCTGTGCTGCCACAAACATGATTGAACTTACTGTAGAGTGTGTGAGCAGGTAGAGACTGAGTGAGAGTGGTGCAGCACAACACTGTTCTACAGAGAGACTATAACACATGGCAGAATAGTGGGCCCCGATTCATGGCGGTCCGGGGGCGGCTGGACATGACCAGATACACAAGAAAACAGAGGCAAGAGGTCGGGCACCTGGCGGAACTAATAATAGTGCAGACCTGCTTCATTATTCCAACAGGAAGGTGTCAGAGAGGCCGCAGAGGAGCCCAGCTTCACCTCATCACGTAATACTGTGATTAGCAGCTGTTATGGTGTTGGAATGACCGGAAAAGAATGTCTTTAACGACCGTGACTATACCTTACAGATGTGGGCCAGTGTAAACTCGGCCTCCTGTATGACCTCTCTGACAAATAAGTTAAACTTACCATTGAGTTTTTGTTGCTCTGGCATAGAAAACAAGAAGTGGTGTCGTACAAGTGAGAATAAGAATGGCCAATGCCCGAGGCGTCTCCGTCCTGGGTCGGTGAGAGGGGGAGGAAGTTTGTGAACTGTTGTGTGTGTGTGCTGGCTCGTCACGCACACACCTGCCTTCAACCACACTACACCTGCTTACATCAATTCTACACATGACTTCACCTATATTACATCTGACTCGACTCTCACTACACCCGCCTGCCTTCAAAACCTGATACATGCTATTTCCTGCACCACATCTGTCTTCACTCTCACCACACCTGCCTCTACTCTCACCACACGTGCGTCTACACCTGCAATGCTACACATATGTTACACTTAACTCACATATCTAACTTTTATTCAACTTGTCTCTCACTTGGGTCTTAAAGAGCATCTCTCGCCTCACCGGCGATTCCCACACCCACGTGTGTGTTACATGGCCCTGTTGGTGTTACATGGTCCTGTTGGTGTTACATGGTCCTGTAGTGTGTTACATGGTCCTGTTGAGGTGTTACATGGTCCTGTTAAGGTGTTACATGGTCCTGTTGAGTGTTACATGATCCTGTTGAGGTGTTACATGGTCCTGTTAAGGTGTTACATGGTCCTGTTGTGTGTTACATGGTCCTGTTGTGTGTTACATGGGCCTGTAGTGTATTATATGGTCCTGTTGGGGTGTTACATAGTCCTGTTGAGGTGTTACATGGTCCTGTAGTGTGTTACATGGTCCTGTTGGGGTGTTACATAGTCCTGTTGGGGTGTTACATAGTCCTGTTGTGTGTTACATGGTCCTGTAGTGTGTTACATGGTCCTGTAGTGTGTTACACGGTCCTGTTGAGGTGTTACATGGTCCTGTTGAGGTGTTACATGGTCCTGTAGTGTGTTACATGGTCCTCTTGAGGTGTTACATGGTCCTGTAGTGTGTTATATGGTCCTGTAGAGTGTGTTACATGGTTCTGTTGAGGTGTTACATGGTCCTGTTGGGGTGTTACATGGTCCGATGCAGGTGATACATGGTCCTGTTGGGGTGTTACATGGTCCTGTAGTATTATATGGTCCTGTTGGGGTGTTACATGGTCCGATGTAGGTGATACATGGTCCTGTTGAGGTGTTACATGGTCCTGTAGTATTATATGGTCCTGTTGGGGTGTTACATGGTCCGATGTAGGTGTTACATGGTCCTGTTGGGGTGTTACATGGTCCTGTTGGAGTGTTACATGGTCCTGTTGAGGTGTTTCATGGTCCTGTTGAGGTGTTACATGGTCCTGTAATGTGTTATACGGTCCTGTAGTGTGTTACATGGTCCTGTAGTGTGTTACATGGTCCTTTTGATGTGTTACATGGTCCTCTTGGGGCGTTACATGGTCCTGTTGGAGTGTTACATGGTCCTGTTGAGGTGTTTCATGGTCCTGTTGAGGTGTTACATGGTCCTGTAATGTGTTATACGGTCCTGTAGTGTGTTACATGGTCCTGTAGTGTGTTACAAGGTTCTGTAGTGTGTTATATGGTCCTGTTGAGGTGTTACATGGTCCTGTTGAAGTGTTACATGGTCCTGTTGAGGTGTTACATGGTCCTGTCGTGTTATATGGTCATGTTGAGGTGTCACATGGTCCTGTTGGGGTGTTACATGGTCCCGTTGGGGTGTTACATTGTTCTTTAGGGTGTTACATGGTCCTGTTGGGGTGTTACATGGTCCTGTTGGGGTGTTACATTGTCCTGTTGTGTTATACTCAAATTCTGTCAGTTGGAATGTAACCAATCACAGGCAAGTAGGCCTCTGACGTCATGCCAGACAGAGGAGCATCAAGCCATGCTCCCAGCAGCCTCAGTTATCCTCACAGACTCAGAGTAGAAGGACCTCGGCTAGGCCAGATATATACCTTGTTGTCTCGGTCAATAAATATATACAGAAGCGACTACTGTGTCTACATTCTACCCGAACAAGGCAAACGAATAGTTGGGGTGTTACATGGTCCAGTTGGGATGTTACATGGTCCAGTTGGGGTGTTACATGGTCCAGTTGGGATGTTACATGGTCCAGTTGGGGTGTTACATAGTCCAGTTGGGATGTTACATGGTCCAGTTGGGGTGTTACATGATCCTGTTGGGGTGTTATATGGTCCTGTAGAGTGTTACATGGTCCTGTTGAGTGTTACATAGCCCTGTTGGGGTCTTATATGGTCCTGAAGTGTGTTATATGGTCCTGTAGTGTGTTACATAGTCCTGTTGGGATGTTACATGGTCCTGTTGGAATGTTACATGGTCCTGTTGGGGTGTTATATGGTCCTGTAGTGTGCCATATAGTCATGTAGTGTTACATGCTCCTGTTGAGTGTTACATAGCCCTGTTGGGGTCTTATATGGTCCTGAAGTGTGTTATATAGTCCTGTAGTGTGATACAAAGTCCTGTTGAGGTGTTACATGGTCCTGTTGGGGTCTTACCTAGTTCTGTTGGGGTGTTACGTGGTCCCGTTGGGGTGTTACATGGTCCTGTAGGGTGTTACATGGTCCTGTAGTGTTATATGTACAAGAATGTAACAACTCTTGTATATATCTAAAAAAAAATATGGTCCTGTAGTATGTTACATGGTCCTGTTGGGGTGTTACATGGTCCTGTTGGGGTGTTACATGGTCCTGTTGGGGTGTTACATGGTCCTGTTGGGGTGTTACCTGGTCCTGTTGGGGTTACATGGTCCTGTTGGGGTGTTACATGGTCCTGTTGGGGTGTTACATGGTCCAGTTGGGATGTTACATGGTCCTGTTGGGGTGTTACATGGTCCTGTAGTGTGTTACATGGTCCTGTTGGGGTGTTATATGGTCCTGAAGTGTGTTATATGGTCCTGTAGTGTGTTACTTAGTCCTGTTGAGGTGTTACATGGTCCTGTTGGGGTTACATGGTCCTGTTGGGGTGTTACATGGTCCTGTTAAGGTGTTACATGGTCCTGTTGGGGTTACATGGTCCTGTTGGGGTGTTACATGGTCCAGTTGGGATGTTACATGGTCCTGTTGGGGTGTTACATGGTCCTGTAGTGTGTTACATGGTCCTGTTGGGGTGTTACATGGTCCTGTAGTGTGTTGCATGGTCCTGTTGGGGTGTTACCTGGTCCTGGTGGGGTGTTACATGGTCCTGTAGTGTGTTACATGGTCCTGTTCGGATGTTACATGGTCCTGTTGGGGTGTTACATGGTCCTGTAGTGCGTTACATGGTCCTGTTGAGGTGTTACATAGCCCTGTTGGGGTCTTATATGGTCCTGAAGTGTTATATGGTCCTGTAGTGTGTTACATAGTCCTGTTGACGTGTTACATGGTCCTGTAGTGTATTATATGGCCTTTAGTGTGTTACATAGTCCTGTTGAGGTGTTACATGGTCCTTTAGTGTGTTATATGGTCCTGTAGTGTGTTACATGGTCCTGTTGGGGTGTTACATGGTCCTGTTGAGGTGTTACATGGTCCTGTTGGGGTGTTACATGGTCCTGTAGTGTGTTACATGGTCCTGAAGTGTGCTACATGGTCCTGAAGTGTGCTACATGGTCCTGTTGAGTGTTACATGGCCATGTTGGGGCGTAACATGGTCCTATTGGGGTGTTACATGGTCCTGTTGAGTGTTACATAGCCCTGTTGGGGTCTTATATGGTCCTGAAGTGTGTTATATGGTCCTGTAGTGTGTTACACTACAGGAGCCCAAAATTTCGCTACTTTCGCTACTTTTCAGCATAAAATTGGGCTACTTTCGCTACTTTTTGCCCAAAATTTCGCTACTTTTTAGCCCAAAATTTCGCTACTTTTGCTACTTTTTAGCCCAAAATTGGGCTACTTTCGCTACTTTTTGCCTAAAATTTCGCTACTTTTTAGCCCAAAATTTCGCTACTTTGTAGCCCAAAATTGGGCTACTTTCGCTACTTTTTAGCCCAAAATTTCGCTACTTTTTAGCCCCAAA